AGTATTCCTTGTCTTGTGTTTGCTTCCCACTCACTGCTGCATTGAACATACTAGTTGCAGCACGTAATTTTTGGAGCTAGATGTGTCTTCCTGTGAAAGGCTAGTTATGCAGGCAGCTCAAAAGTCAAGAAAAACGACACAAAACAGGTTACCTCCCTTATTTGAGCTAACTGTAACACCTTATACAGATGCTGATTTTCACTAAAAACTGAAAAAATTGTAGGGGTAGTGCATTGGTTGTGTTTTTGATACTCTGTCTTTTTAGAGCATGCATGGAAAGCTGAGAAGTGTTTCTTTACTTGCATGAACATTTGCCCATTTATATCTTCTCTTTTACTGAAAGTGGTTGCAGCAAGAATGGAGTTACTTGGTTTATCTGTAAAATATCCTTTATTGGCTGAACTGAGCTGTGGGTGGAAGTTGAGTAAAAAAAATGACCCAACTTTGCCATGTGCTACCTGTATACAAGAGAAACTGCATAAACGTCATTAGTAACACTTTCTAATCTCTGCGTTTTGGTTTTGTATATGTAACCAGCTGTTACGTTTGATTGAGACTTCAAACTTTGGATTTTCCCATTCAGGCAAGTAATGGAGTGGATATAGCCAATTTGTCCAGTAGCTTAAGCTTTTATACTGATTTACTTTAGGATTTACTTTTGGGAGATGGAAATGTTAACTCGCTTTCTGTTCTCAGCTATAAGAATATATAACTAACTTTTGTAAAAACAAAGAGTCTTTCACATGGGGCCCACTTTTTTTTTTTTTTTTAACCACAGCCAACATGGATATAAATCCAGGAAACGGATTCCTTGGTAAGATCTGTGGTATCTTCTGTGATACCAGTCCCTCCTTCAGAAACATTCATTATACTGCATTTTAAAGATCTTTTCAAGGTCATGGGCAAAAGTCAATCTGCACTTGGGAGAACTTCTGCTGGCTGGCAGAGCAACTTCAGTGCAACCACATAATAAATGGATGATGTACATTAGGTACCTTCCAGCACTGTTTAGTATTTAAAGAAATGCAAGAAAATTCAATGAAAGTACCTACATTCTGTATAATGTGCTAAGAATCACTGCAAGATCTTCAGTTTAGCACAAGTTGCCTTTCCTTCCATCAGAGTGGAACCGTGACAACTCCTGCAGTATGCAGCCCTTCTCACCCCTTCCAAATCCCCTAACTCTTTTGGGCCTAATTTCAGATTGCATTATGCAATTTTAGAACTATTTTGTTAACCGGTGTACACAAGCCCTCTGTATGCTTCTGCCTCCTGTTAAACTGAGCAATTTTAATGCACTGTTGCAATGTGCTTTCTAATTACAGTGAATTCTGTTTCATGTGTATGACGGACAATCTAGTAACACAATAGTTTCAATTAATCACGTAATTACTGGGCAGTTTTGAAGTAGCTGCCTGTCTATGCATCTACTAGTAATTTTTCTGCTTCACGTGCTTGCTGGAAAATAGCACAGCTTAGCACTGAGCATTTTTAACTACTACAGCAAAACTCTGGATGTGCTTTTGTTGCACAGCTTGCATTTGGAAAATGCAAAAGAAATAATTTCTGCCTTTAGAAACACTGAAAATAAATGGGAAATACTAAAAGTTATGATTAAAAAAACCCCCTTTATTCAGCCTGAAATCTTTGAAAAGCATATATATATATCAATTCAGTTTTGTGAATGGAAGGTACCAAAATCCTATTAACCAAAGTACTATTAAGGGCATTCCTGGCAGATGTTGTCTCTCTCTTTAGCATACCATTTCTGTAACTGACACATGGAATTGGGGTTATTACAATATGAGATTATGCGATATTGGTGTGTTTGCACTTTAAAAACATTTTCAGAACCTTGAGTATTCAAAGCATCATCCTGAGGCATCAGTTCCAGTAGCTAGTCAGGTTTTGTTCAGAGAGATCTTTGTGAGTTGTGAGAAAGGAAACAATTCAAGTGGAGTAGGTTTTAAATAAGAGAACAGTTCCCAGAAGATCAGGCTATGAGCCACTTGGATGCTTGATTGAATGAAACTATGGAAACACTGAAACTTAAAATGCAAGTGGGAAATTGAAAACAGTTTTTAAATACACCAGTCAGGCACTTGGAAATCCATCAGGTATCGTTCTGGAATGATGCTGACTTCTCAAAATGCCAGCTTACTTTGCAAAATGACTTAAGAGGACTATCAAAAGGTGAGGAGAAATCTAGGCACAAAGCTGCTAACAGCTATGATTTGGCAATCAGCATCCCACAGTGGCAGTAAATGGCAAAATGAGCTCTATTTTCTTCCCATTCAGAATTAGTGTATGTAAATTGAGTATTGCTCAGGAGAATAGGAAGTCATGACGTTTATTTTTGGTTTAAAAAAAACCAAACCAAAACAGTAAACTTCAATGGCTTAGCTAAAGGGACGACTGTATCTATTACCAGAGCTCAGCTGATTGCAGCAGGAACTGAAATGTCTTTCACAGCTCTAGGGGAAGAAGATGGTGGTCCTCTGTAGGAAACTTCAGGAAAACTGGAATTTTATTTGTTCAAAAACTATCTGGCAGCTGGTACGTGCTAACAGTTCATTGGACCAATAGGTAATGGAAAAAACTCCTCTAAGATGTTTTTACAAATACTTCCTGATTTGATGTATACAGATGACATGATGTACAGCAAATTCCTCCTCTTATTAGTTCCTATTTTAAGATTCAGCATGGCTAAAAGCATTGCCAAATTTCTCTAAGACACTCAGGGACAAAATTTTCTCGTATTACTGAATGCTATCTCAAAACAGGGGCATAAAAGTCTTACAGACACAGAAATCTTTCAGTACTTCCTCAGTATAAGTAATGAAGTCAAAACAGAAGAGTCAGCACCTGGCTCCTGGCTACAAAGGCTTGCCATAGATAAACCAGAATTATTCTGTATCTGGTTGCCTGTTAACAAGACATGTGGCCTTGTCTCCACTGTTAGTAACCAAGCCTTGGTTTTAAGTTCCCCCTCTTTCCTCACTACTAGCTAGTCATTGCAACAGACTGACATAAATATAAGACAAAGAAGAAAAAAATAGTTCTGGTTTTTCTTCTGTATGCAGCCAAATAGTATGTATGTAAACAATGCTTAAAATCAGAAGGTACCATTCACAAGTGATGAAATGCTGCCTTCTTTCCTAGAGTCACTCAGCAGCTATTACAATCTTGTTCCCACAAAGGAAATCTCATTGTCCAGTTGACTACATCAACAAACTGCAGAATTTTGGGGTTGCATCATTCATCAAACCCGGGAGCCCAGTGAAGAAACAGAGGCTGTGGGGTTTGTGCATGAGGTAGCAAAAAATTATCGAAATAAACATTAATGACTACAAGATTGTTGTTCTGAAGCTTGTCAAAATTCATGACGGCATTATGAATCTTTTAAAATAGTGCTTCTGGATATTCCTTTCATTTAAATAAACTCTGTAATTGCCTTCAATGCTCTTGCTATTTTCAAGTCTCATACATCCATGAAGCACTGCAATTTAATTGATACACTTCTTTTCTTCAACCATGATGCCTTTGTACCTTGGAGAGAAAAATAAATAAATAAATAAATAAATAATTGTAAAAAGATACTTTAATGACACAGCCTGTTTTTATGATAAAGTTTAAGAAATAATTTTAATGTATCTCTGCTTTCCTGATATGCAGAAACACAACATTACATTAAACTTGTGCATACAGCGTGTTTCTTTCTTTAAGAAAATGTGCCATTTTGCTCAGTGTATGATACAGCACTGTCTGACTGATCAGCAATGTATTTTCTAGATTAAAAATATACTAATGCTTTGCAGTATATATTTATGTAAACATTTAAACCAAATTTATTTTTTTTTTAGGCCACATTTTGGAAATTCATTGCAAACATTGTAGTCTTATCTTTATAGGATGTGTAGTTTTGTATTTAAAAAATGTGTATGAGCATTTACTAATAATTTCGATTTCTTAAACATATTTGCCCCTCTAGCAAGTTATCTGCTGTCTGACCACAAATGGTATTGGCATGGTATATTGGACTTGATAAAGTAGGAAAAAGATCTGAACTCGCAGTAGTTTCAACTGGGAGAAACTGAGGCTGGATGAAAGTTAAACCATTGCCATCTTCCCTGTTTTTTACCCATTTCTCACTAAAAATGCCTGCACATCTAGCAGTCACATTATAGGTTTTACATTAAAAGACATAATGTGGCAAAATACTAAAAAGAAAGGAAAGATGGGAAGGATAGAATATTCTATTTTGGCTGCAGCAGGAGACCAAAGAACTAAATTGCTTTTTTAAAGGAAAACAGTACCAGTGTGAACAGTGGTATGTAATTAAAGATGAACGTAAAGGAACAGCACCAGCATGCAGTGCTAAAATCAGCTAAGCTATGTTCCAACTCCACCAAATGAATTCTGCTGGCACCCGAAAAGTGTCTAAATACATTGAAATGAAAATAGGAGAAACATCACACGTGATGCAAGAAGAGTAGAATGCTTTCTACTTCAGATGTCACAAAATAGTTAGTTGCAATGAAATGTTTAATTGAGTTACTTCAGTGAATGACTGTCAGCACTCAAGCAAAGTAATACAACAGAAGATTATGTGACAAAACAGAGAAATGTTCATCATTCATTATATTGCAATAAAGTAAAGCTGTTGCCAACAGCTTTAATACTTGGGGATAAGGAATGTTTGTATAAAACAAGGATGAACTGACTGACAGTGTAGTGAGTTAGTTGACAAAGATCAGGACTTGATTCGATGCAAGCTAAGAAAGTCAGCAGTGGGATGCTTTTCCCCAAAATGGGGCCAGATGCTGGTAAAGAGAATACTGGTTGTTAGGAAGAAGATAGTTATCAATTCCTGCTGCAGCCGCTTAGGGATGACAAGAGGTCATCATCTTAATTTGAAACAAAGGGAATTTACTTTAGGTATTGAGAACAATTCTTTAAGTATTAGAGCCTATAAATTACTGGAATAGCTCTTAGGAATTTTATGAACTTTCTCTCACTGGAGACTGAAAGAAGAAATTAGACAACCACATTTGGTGTATTTCGTGCTGCTTCATTGGACAAGGGTGGACTAGATAATGACTCCCAAATAGCTGTATCTGTGATGGTGTCTTGACTCTACAATTACCTGAATTTTCTTCCCACAGAGGACTCCAGTATAACCAGGACGACAAAAGCATACATTAGGCAATACACACTTGCCTCCAAACAGACACTTCTGGTTGCACACAGCTAAAGCAAGAGAGGTACATACGTGGTTTTATTCAGGAAAACAACTTGGTGAAGGAAAAGCAACTGCTATCTCTATATACTTATTCTGCTTGCTTACAGGAGCTGAGAACTTGGAAGGTATTTTCACAGGGAAGCATCCCTCAGTGTAAGATGACTTCAGAGTCATGTAGAGCCAACGATGTTCTTATGCCTATCCCATCCCCCTTAGGCTTTGATGCAGATTTGACATGGGAATATGCCGAGGGCATGAATGAGACACAGATAGGGACATGAGTAAGGTGGTTTTTAAGGCATCCTACTATTTCAAGCTATTGCAATGGCCTCTCAGGGCTGTTGCAGCAGCACATGGTGTTGGAGCAAGCCACCACATACTGCCATGGTCCTGGACTACCATCGTATTCTGGAGGGCTTCAGAAGGGGCAGAGGAGTCTCTACTCTTTATCCTGCCTTTGACACAGATTTGGGTTAAAATGTAACTGAGGTGTAGGACTTCGAGGTACTATGTATTGCTGAAGCAGTCTTAACTGTGCTGAAGCACAAGGTTTACAGGTCACATCATTCTTACGTGTTTGACACTGGATTCCTTCCCACTGCGGAAGACAATGACATGTACTCGGTCCAATACACTCCCCACCGTTCTTACATTCCTGAAGACAGATTGCTGCACAAACATCATCACAAAGTTTTTTTATATCCCAAGTGATTACTTTTACTTATTTACATTTCAGGATGCCCACGAGAGGCTGAGTGCTTTCCATACACAAGAGTCACATCATCTTCACTGAAAATCTGTCTAAGATCAACAAGATATTAAAGAAGAAGGGCAACTAGAAACAAAAAGCCCTACAGCCAAAGCACACATTGAGATGTTCTGATGCATCACAGATTGCTACAAAAGCCCAAAATACTGAATTAAGTCAGCACCACTAAATAGCTTTTTTTTTCCAAATTTACCATTCTAAAACCCACACCTTAGTGACAGATCTTTTGTTTGTCATGCAACTTAACACATGGTGAATCAGCTCATGAACATTTGATCCAAAGTTCTTTTCTATGACACGTTTTTCTGCACATTCATCCCTGCTTATTAAGCCATAATCGAAACCACTATTATTTCTCATTGGTTAATTGACTGTTTCATAATCAAATCTCTCTTCCATAGTGTCCAAGAATATCTCACCCATGTCAATATGGGTAATATTTTCTTCAATAAAACTTTCCAATAATTACAGAAAGTAATACAGGGAAATTTGTTTTTCCTCCATGCCATTAGAGAGCTCATTGGCCGTATCAATATCTGAGTCTCGGGTGGGTACTATGACAGACACTAACACTTTATTGGATTTCTACCACTCATCCTCATGTTGATTTTCATACAGATTGTGCTTTTATCCACGCTGCCACATTTTATTTATGCACCATCAATATCTTCGTTAAGATACAATGTGACCCACAGCTGTACTACCATCATAGACTATTTCTACCTTTCCTAAAGAGCTTGTGTCCTTTGCATCTTCTATTCCAATCATTTCCCACGTTTCCACAGTTTTCCAGTCTTTCACTGTACTTCTTTTTCTGTTATATCTACTTTTATATCCTCCAGTACAAATTGAGATTCTTTCACTTGTATGACTCAGCTCTTTGCAGAAATACAGATGTTTCTTACTTAGACAAGAATTAAGAAAGAAAAAAGTATTATTTGCTATACAAAAATTTAAAAGATATTCTGGTCTCATGATTTAGCCTAAGAACTGCACAGTATTAGTTCTCCATCCTAAATTTTGCCGCCAAGTTATAGACCATTATTTTTTCAATGTGTGTATATTCTTGAGTTCTTTGGCACTAACTTCATATTACTTGTGTGGACAGAGGTGTCCTTTAGTCATATATTACTTCTGAGGTATGGTTCTGCTGTTAGCTACAAGATACTTACGAGTGTTACATCTTTTTCCTCTCCATCCTGAAGGACAAGAGCAAACATTTGGCCCTACGCACCTTCCTCCATTCATACATCTTGGCTCACAGACACCTTAAAATAAAAAACATCTGCTGTTTAATACAGTTAACTGATTACAGAATAATTTACTGGTTACTTTTGGATCCTGGAAGGATTTTAACACTGGCTTACTTTTTTCACATCTTCTGCCTGTGTACCCATTAGGACAAGCACAGACATTATTTCTCATGCAATGACCACCGTTCTTACAAGGCGGGCTGCAGACAGCTAAAAGATACAAACAGGAGGAAAAGGCTGTAGTTTGCATTTTGTTTTACTTTTAGCAATATACTTCTAGGAAACAAGAATGCAACACTAAAATTCTGATAGCTTATACAAATGTTCAGCACTATCAGGCCTGTCTTGTAAAAGTCATATTAATGTGGATTGGTGCCTATGTCAACAGTAAAGACAAAATCGGATAAAAAGTGGTCAAGGCTGGCAACTGTACGTGTACATGAGTAACCAGATTACATAATATACAATGGAACTGGTTGAACAGTGCTCAAAAGTTGAGTGGAAGACACGGCAAATTTTGAGTCTCCTTTCGCCTTGGACATTCACTGAATCAGCCATAAAATCTAAAAAATAATGTAATCTCTGTTTTGCACCACTTCTCAGGTACCTGACTTGATTGTGAATTTTGTGTCTTAAGGTAACAATGTTTTCTCACAGATTTCCTCATGACAGCAGCTAAGCAGGGAGGAGGGGGGAAAGAAAAAAAAAAAAAGATTACCATTCTGACACTGGGCACCAAAGAATCCATGAGGACAGAGGCAAACATCTGGCTTAGCACACGAACCACCATTGAGACACACAGGGTCACAAATTGCTGCAGAAACAGGGTCAGGAAGAGTGGGAAGCATGACACCCAAATAAAACTCTATAAAATGTGTGCTTCTGTTGCAAAGACAGGAATTAAACACCTAAGATAACTGCAGGTAACACCATTCACATAAAATCTTTACCCAGAATTTTAGGACCAGTCTTAGACTTTCTGGAGGTGCTGCTGGCAGCAGAACTAACATGCAGAGACAAGAGAGAGTGTGGGGGCTCTGCGGCAGTAAGCAGCTGCCCACTGCTGCTGTCTGAGCCACACGGTTCCAAATTTCAAATTACGGGAGGTCCTACGGATGCTTTCCCAGGAACATGGAAGTTGCAGGAGTGTTACCTGTACTGCATGTAGGTCCATACCACCCAGGTTTACACTGGCAGATGTCTGGAGTAAGACATTCACCACCATTTTCACAGTGTCTGTTGCAAACCACTACCATCCAAGAAGTTGGGCAGAAACAAAGAAGGAGGGAAGTGGGGGGGGGGGGGGGGGAGAAAGAGATATGTTACAAATCATGCTTGATTCATCCTTCAGTTCTTTCCCAAATATTAACACTGGAAATAACACACAATTCCACTAGTTGAAGAGGAATTGCTGAATAGATTAATCCAGTCTCAAAGCCATAAAAAGCTAGCACCAGACTATAGAGGTAAATAAAATGTAATTACATTTCCATGTAATTATCCACAGTCTGGTTATATTCAGTGTTAAAAATCTAGAAAATGTCAAATATAAATTCTAAAAAAAATGGGAAATTCAATACGAAGAGACAAATGGACCATGCTACATGATGGATTTGATGGACTCCAAGAAAGTTCACTCCAGTATCCTCCATCACTTCAGCAACTGTGGCTGCATGCATAGAGTGACACAAGACTAACAAGCAAAGACATCTGCTGTGGAAAACCATGAATCACTTCTTCAGGACAACATCTCATTCTCTTTAGTATTGCTTAATAAAGAGCACCATTTTTTGTGTGTGTCACAAGTGAAACTAGAACAAGAAAAACTGAGAATGAAGAGTCCTGGGATTTGAGGAAGCGATGAACAAAGGATTTTCTCAATTTGGGGTCAATAATGCAGTGGCACATTCAGGTGAATGATATATAAACAGCATGTCTAAATTTGGACTCTCTGAATGATAAAAATTACCAGTATGACATCTACCCAAAATTTGGAGTTGCCAAATTGCAGCATGTAGAATTCGATACATAAAAGACAATTTACATGAGACTAACTCCAATTTTTCAGCTATGATCGCAGCAAAGTTTCCGATTTTCAGGTCAAGTAAAAAGAAAAGACCCCATAATGTGGTTCTGAATTCAGTTTTCCTGTATCCCAGTTTTTCTGACCTACCATTCACTGATACCAACTTCTGAATGTACCCCAGCATGTAACCAATTTAAGATGATAGAAGTTAAAAAGCTTGAAGGACATATTAAACATCTGTGTTCGTTCTGAAGGTAGCATCACACATGCAACGTGCTCAATGTTTCCACATTCATGAATCATAAATAATAAACTATCTGCAATTTTTATAGTACATTATGTTTTCAAAGTTACGTGCAAATACTATCTAACTAATGTTTGAAAAGCCCAACTATGGGAGCCTTCAAAGTGGCACAGGTATTATGGCATTTGGTAGCATTAGACAGAGTGCATAAAAAACAAGCCGTAATTTGCTTTCTTGCTCCTGAAGAACGGGAGAAATGTTCTGTATTCTTCCTTTATGTTTTTTTGCTTACTTGTATCACATCTTGGTCCCACAAAACCATATGGGCAGGTGCAGAGATTTCTGGCCAAGCATGTGCCTCCATTTTGGCAGGGTGGTTTACAATGTGCTGCAGATATAGAATTATGTTGTTCAAGAAATCACCTCTAAAAAGATGCATGGTTTGGTTATGCTTTAGAAAAAGGGAAGTGTTAATAATTGACAGTGAGCAAAGAACTGGAAATAAAATAATGAGACGTATGCAGTGCCTTTTGACAAGAATAAGTCACAAGAACAACTTAATTCCAAGAGTACAGAGAGGCCCAACAGTCATCCTGAAGAAAAGAAATTTGAGACAATTTCCAGACAGGACTTCCCACTCTTTGGGAATGTTTAGCTTAGAGGCATCTACATTCACTGGTCAACTCTTCTACTTACTGTGAAAGCTGAATTTAGAAATATCCAATCATCACAAGCAACTTTTACAGTGTATATCAAAAAAAGTAGGGTATATACCAACATGTTACTCAGAGAGTTCTGTTAAAGTAAAAGTAAAATGAGCACACCTCTTTGCTGTCAGAATCAACAGTCACGGAAGTTATTTACAGCATCCTTTGGGTATTTATGGATTCAAAAGTGAAAAATCTTCTAATTACCTTCCTCACAAGTGGAGCCACTGTATCCTGGTAGGCATTCACATACATTGGGCTTAATGCACTTCCCATGGTTTTTGCAATCAGGTCTGCATAGAGCTGTGCAAAAAATCAACAGTGATCTTCAAATCATTAATTTGTGGATACAAGTTACCACAGGCTAAATCAAAATGCCATACTCACCGGCCTGACAGTTATAACCAGCATAACCAGGCTTGCATTTGCAAATATTGGGTGCCACACACTCCATATTTTTGCCACATGTTTGTCTACATCTTGCTGAAAGGCAATGAAGAAAAAGAAAGGAATAAGGAGAACGAAAGTGGCATTTCAGCACAACTGTGTCTTGCCTAACATAATGAACAGATCACACAGAATCCATTAGGTCCCTGCCCGTAAGTGGGGATCCTGAGACAAATCCAAAAAATATTTTAAGTGCATCCACAAAACTAAAAGCCTGTAGGCTATGGCAACGTTAATAATGAAAATGAGAAAATTCAATACTCTATGCATTTCACTCATCACACAGTAACAATGTACTCTCAAGTTATAAAGATGTCACAAGATTCTTTTCTGCAAAGCATTTAGTGCAGTCATTTGTAATACCTCTGCAAGTGAAGCCATCTCCATAATAACCATAAGGACAATGACCACACTTGATGCTTCCATCCTGACTTGGCTCACAAGGTACACCAGGAAAACAGGGTAAATCGGTACAGGTTACTGCTTTAGGAATCACTATTTCACTCAGCTCTTCAGGAAGCATTTTTGGTGGGACAGTGACTTCAACAAGGACAAAAGGTAAAGGACTCGCTTTATGCTTGGCTAACAGGTGCTGAACTCTCTGAGCATTTCCACCTTTGAACACTTTGCTTGGCAAAGAAAGCCCTTTGCTTATATTTGTTCTGCTGCTAGGAGAAGTCTTCTTGCTGGTCTCAAAATAGCTGTAGGCCTCAACTTGTGCCCTTCTTTTCTTCTCAGGTGATACAGCATGGTTCCTTGAAGATGCAGTCATCACAGCATGTACTGAAGAACTCTCCTCCATGTTAGCAAGGTGACCACTGATGGCGCTGAGAGCATGAGCAATGTTTCCAGTAACAGCAGGTTGTACAGAAGCACTTCTCTGAGAATTAAGTGACTTCCAAGTGGTGATTGTTTTTACTGTGGAGCCTAGCAGATTGCTGCTACTGACTGCTTCTGTAGAAATAAATCTCTCAGGGACATCTGTAGAACTGGGAATATAGCCTGAGATGCTTAAAACCTTCTCAAAGGATGATTGTTGAAAACCTACAGCATGTTAGAAAGAAAGAGGGGAAAAAAGTATGGGAATATTATGAGACTTTTTTTTGCTTCTGAAGGTGAGGAATGCCTTCTGAACAGAAAACATACAGCCCATTCATTCTGTGCTTCAGGAATTCTCTCCGTGTGCTACATCAGAACATACATATGCAGTAGAAGCTAACTCCTAACTGGCAGAATTGGAGAAGATCAAGGTATTCTGGGTATGTCCTTTCCCACCCTCACCATGGCCTTTTCTTGGCTGGAAGATAAGGAGAAAGCACCATATATATGAGGCAGACAGCAGAGATTTTCCCATACTGGGTCAATAAACAGCTTTACTCTCAGAGCAAATTACCAGCTCCATATAGTGCTTCCAACTAGAAAACTGAAACAGAGTTTAAAGAAAAGATACTTCTTATGGTTCACCAGTATGTCTAACCGCTAGTAATAAACCTAGAGTCTAGAAGCAGATATTTAATCACAAGTATGTACATGCTTATACTTACTGATGCACCATGGACAGTATTTTAGGTGAATAATCCACCACCTTGTAGAAAAAGTATTACCATGTTTTACTCCCCAAACTTTCTTAAAGTTTCTGCATGGGTTTTATTAGTGGGATATTTCATGTTTTTTATAACAACAGAGGCTGATTCAGTCTCCTCATTGAAAGGAGTGCAAAGAGAACGAAAAGTTCTTCATATTCTGCCCAGAAAAAGCAGGTGGTCTGGTGGGTTGTGGGAAGGAGGATGGCACTGTAATCCCAGAACAGCAGAATGCCATATATGGGCTTTTAGCATTATGGGGCAGAGGAGGAATGAAACTGGAGGAGATTATCCAACCTAACTTAATCTCTGTCCCTAACTCCATTTAGAATTTTACTAGAAAATGGTCTACAAAAGGTTAAACTTCACTGAATCTTATTACAGAGTGCTGTCTCCCACTGCTGAAAAGCAAACCATTTTGCAGCCGATGAAGAATTATCCAGCACTGGCAGCGGAGTGAGAGAGTTTTCCTCCTCCCCCACTAACAATTCAGAGCTAAAGGGGAAAGACACACAAAAATTTCCTGCAAAGAAAGCCCCAGCAGGCACAGAACTAGAAATGCCAGCAACAGCATTTACGGAGTTTTGGAATTAAGACATTCACTTGCCATACCCTTCACCTTTCCTTTGAGTTAAAGTAGGAAAATGGCATTCAACATAATGCCATAAACTTTTGCTTATCTCATATAACAGATGTGCCTATCCCCACGTTACCTATTTTATGTCAGTGGTTAGTCACAAAAACAAAAGGCAACGATAAGAACATCATACATTACACTGTCAATAAAATGACTTGACTGACCTAAGGGATTTGTTGATATTGACATTTCAGTCTCATTTTTCACATCAGAATACAATGCCAATAATGAATTAAATTGAGTCAAATGGAAAAATTAAAGTGAATAACATAAAACTGACTAGAACCTTTAATTGCCAGCTATATTCTTATCAGTATGTGAATCAGAAATTCCATTTTCTTCACGAGAAAATCACCTTTATTCCCTCCAGTTTCTCCCATGGAATCCTTTCTTTCAACATTAGTGTCCTCAAAGCTTCCTAAAAACAAAAGATGTGAAAACACATTAGTAGTTACTTTTGTTTCAACTGCAAATAAATTACAGAGTTAAAGTTTTAATACATAAAGATAACTCAAAATTCAGAAAGCAGATAAAGAGTAAAAATTGCTTCTTAAAAGTTTTCAGTAGAGTTATTTTAAAAATACAAGTTATTCAGTAATTGCATTTTAAATAAATGTTTGGGCACCTTATTTGGCAAGTGCCTTGATTTGGGTTCTATGTTAAGCAATCTGATAGAAAAATATTTTGTCAATAATTGCTCATATTATGAAAATAATGCAGAAACCCCCCAACATTTCATTGTATTCTACTTTGATATGAATTTGGCTATTTTTTATCTTTTTTTTTCCAGTAGCCTGAAAAAGTGTTTTACAACTACGTGACTCAGTGCAGTCTGATGTTGTCATCAACTGAGATTCTGTCCCAGCCATCCACAGTCAGAGACACAGTCCTGTTTTGCTGACTACTGAAAAGAGTTCTAAGTTACTGTTAGAAACATGAAGCACAACCAAAGATACCTTATCTGAATGACAATAAGGTAATAGCATTCTTCTGAAAAACAAATAATTTTACCATAACATGACTTCCCATCTCCTTGCAGATTATTTGGGCATGGACCACAATAGTAAGAACTGAAAGTATTGAAGCAAAATACTCCAGGGAAGCAAGGACTGGATACACATTCATCTACATCATCTTGACAATTTTTACCTGCATTGAAATACAGATTTGGGTTTTTTTATAATTTCATGTCACTAGACTTTGACAGTCTGTTTATAAAAGTAGAATGTATGCAGGTGCTGAAATACAAAAAGGGCATCTATCAAGTGCAAACTATTTCAGTACATCTAATAAGTACAGCTGACTAGGTTTGCTATTCACATTTTTACATCTTATATCAAGTATCTTGCTTATTGCGGAATACAGAGAAGATGGGCTGTGAGGACTACATTTTTATCTGCAGGCATAGGAGGAATCACACTGTAACCAAATTCATCGCTCCCATGTTTCACCATGTTGCTGAGTTTACCTCTGCAGAGGAAAACCATGGAAATTTGCTCTCATAATATAAACAGCCATTGTATTCATGCCAGAAAAATCTTGAAGTATATCTTATAATTTTATCACAAGACCATAAAATTTCCTCAAACCCTAGCAGCAAGCTATTTATAGTCAAAAATTTTTTACAAAAATTGTAGACATAAAATTAGAAACTCCTATTTATCACTAAATGTGATAAATGTGTGTAAATAAAGTAGCAATTTACCTTGAAGTTCAGGTGGACATTCACAGTAATAGCTGTTTATTCCATCCACACATCTGCCAATACCACACTGGTTAAGTTTACAGTCATCAGTATTCACTTGACAGAGATCGCCTTCAAATCCAGCCACACACACACAAAGATATCTTCCACTTCCAGGTGGGAAATTAATGTTTGTCACACATGAGCCATTATTTAGGCAATCACACGATTTTACACTGACCTACAAGACATGCCCAATAAGACAGTTTTCTTTTTTTTAATGAACTAGCAATGAGTTTTGTAATTAGGTATCTTAAACATCTTACTAGTAGGTGTCATTTTACTGTAATATTCATTACCTCTATTTCTACCTTAGTCTTTGCGTTGCAGTCATCTGTCAAAGAAAATGTTATTTTCTGGAGATTCATTGACACAGCTTTCCACAAAAGGAGACCTGATGGGGAAAGACTGGCACCTTCTGGACCAGAATCCAATGTGAATTGAATAGCAGAGCCCTCTGGATCTGAAGCCAAAAACTGATATACAAAATCTTCTCCATAAAAAGTCTGTAGCATACCCTGAAAAGTTTCAAGCACTGGAGGCTGGTTGTCTGTAACAAAGGAGATATTTTCCTTTTTTAAGCAAAAGTTGCAATATACTTTTAAAAACTAAAAGGAGCCTATCTTTCTATTAAGGAAGTCACATGTAATTACTTCTCTTAAATTCTAATGTCATTTGAATGGCACAGGAAAAACACTAGATATTGTCATGACAACTGTAACAACATAACCAAGAAATTACTTATACTACACAAGAGCTTGTAAAGATGCAGTGCATCTATATACATAGAAAGAACTCAGAATTTATCGAATTTAACCACTATACTTTACCTATGCAGAGATAGTTTGCAGATTGAAGTACAGGAAGACATAAAACTCAGAGGTGACTGCGGTTTCCTTTAACAAATGAATAGATATTGTTAAGTGATACTTGATAATGGGCTGCAGTGACTATCTTGGCAAAACTGAGCATGAGGTGATGGAATAAGTTATTCACTCATGGTCCCTAGGAAGGATTTCAACCACACAACAACTTACTAGTAAGCCTTAGTCTATTTAGACTGCACTGTTGAGCTCTAACCTATTTGGCAGGAATAGCTAGATTTCTAGAGATACCAGGTGAAAATAAACAAACAAAACCCCAGCATCAGGACAAGTTCTGTGAAAGAGAGAAGCAGAAGCCCTGAGGATAGTGTAGGTTTTGAAGTTGGGACATAGGAAGGTGATTAAGATTGCTAAGTTTTGGGTTACAGTGAAGTGACAACTCCAAGCAGGAACCCACCCACTGTGGCAGAAACCAGGAAGGGAGCAGCAGCTGTAATCAGTGTCTCAGCAGTTAGATCCTGACACCCCGTTCCTAATGTCATCCACTCTGGAGAAGAGGTGCTCCTTGGTTTTGGGGAATTGCCTCTGGTTTACATTCTTCTCCCATTTCTGACTCTGGTAATATTGAATTCCAGTCTATGGCTGTAACATGGAAACCCCCTGACTCCCTGACTGCTGGATGAGTTTCGTTTCATTCAGGTTTCATTCTTTTGGAATAGGTATAGCTACCTTGGCTTTCAGTACAAGTTTGAACTAGGAAAAGATTCAGCAAGACAGGCACCAGAACTCCCACTCATACAGGACCCTTCCTAATCCAGGCAGAGTCTTGCCAGCACATTCACCCATGAAAACACGGATGGAATGCTTGCATTTGAGATGTTATAGACTGGGGTTGATGGGGCAGGCTGGATGGCTACTAGTAAAGCCCCAAAAGACATCCCATTTGGTGAAGGGACGAATATGATTTGCATATCCAAACACTAAGACCTGAGCCAAAAGAGCTACAACTTCTAGGCTAGAACTTTGTACTGTGGAGAAGGAAAACGAAGAATCTAGACTTGGGTCTTCTTTTCATAGTGTGGTTTCTAACTGGACGGAAGCATGACAGCCTTGGATATACTTTCAAGTATTTGTTTAGGTCACGTATCTGTGCCATCAATGTGGATTATGTCCAAATATTAAGTGGATAATAAATATGACATGCCATTTAATTCAGTTTGTGTTCTCCTCTTGTTTGGTATCAGTCATTTGTTGGAAAATATCTTTTATTCCTAAACGTTGAAGACAAACATTTGTGGATGTAGCTGTGCCAAATATCAAAAGACTTCAAAGTGCCAATTAGGCTGAGAGCTGTTAATTTTCATTAGTTATTTGTAACGGCTACTGGGGGGAGCTGGGCAAGAAAAAAAAAAAAAGCGTGACTTTTACATGTATGGTTTGGAAAACAAAATATCATTTTCAAAAATTAGGAGAAATGTCAGATGAAAACCAAAATCAAATTACAGGCTAAAGTAGTGAGTACTAAGCTTTAAATGAAACACTTAACTAGTTAAACTTAAAACTTCACTATTTCCATAAATTTAAAAACTTAGTCGATTTTCAACTTCTTGCTATTAAAAAAAAAAACCAAACTATTTAGAACTTACTTTCAACAACTGACCAAGTTAACTTTGATACGTCAGGTCTGCAGAGTAAGCAAGGGCTGGTTGGATTTGTGTCACCTTCACCGTAACAGAGTCCATCTATGTTGCACGTTTTCTCCTTTTAGAGAAATGACAGTGTGATTCATTAATTTTGGGTTATCAAACAATAAATCTGGATGAATTTTTAAAGTGTCAGATAAAATCTAATCTATTCTGCACTTCCACTAAATGACTATGGTTGTTTTTAAATCTAAACAACTGACAGCATGTTTGGTTTTATTTGGTAATTATATGAAGTGGTTTTGGGTTGATTTTTTTGATTCAAAATTGCCTCATCCCAGCTTCTCTTTCTGTGCTTATTTCTATGCATGGAAAATCCCTGTTGGAAAGAAGAACTGGGTACGTTCTGCTGATTTTTCTACATTTTTTTCTGCCTGAAAAGATGCGTATTTTCATAATAGAAAGTAATGGAAATACATACCCTTAATGCACATAACCCAGATTCCTGTGGTTCACATGCCTGACAGGCTCCGTCATATAATATCATTGTTTTAGAGTTGCTATAAATGAATCCATCATTAGAAATCTGCAAGATGTAAAATAAAAATTGATTAACCCATCCAGGTATCAAAGTATCACCACGTCAACTGCTAGCATGAGCTTCAACTCAACCTACATTTAGCTGTTTAAACTCTCATAATAGTCATCACAAATCTAATTAATCCTGCCAATAAGTCTAGGCAGATATTTGACCAACCACATGTAGGTGTCTACTTTAGGTAAACTGAATAGTGTGTAGGCTCTATTGTCTTCATTAACTCAATCTGTATGAGAGCTCAGATATCTACCTCACACAGGGATTTGTACGTGTAGACTGGGCTCAACTCATTTTTCCCATAAATGTGTCTAATGTCATTTGAAATGCTCTAGGGTAACCAACTAGCCTTTAACTTCTACTCTTGAACAACATGTGTCTCTGTAGGTCCTAGGTCGTATCTACCAGTCCCCTTGCAGAAGAACACTCTCAAATGGCACTCAATACTTAAGCTTAGGTGATGAAACTGAGAGCCCAAGTTAAGCAAGCTGAGTTCCACATTTAGTATGATTAAAAAAAGGATAATATCTATGTAATATATTTTCATCCTAATAGGAATACCTGTAAGTGAATATTTGAAATTTCTGCGAGTACCTTTATTTGCCACTTGGTAATGGGTTTATCATCAACCAGATCCATGACATCAGACTGCTGGCCATCATTTGGTAACTGGCAGTCGACAGTCCTGGCATTTTGGAAGGCAGCTGGCATAGTTAGAGGTTCTCCAGGAATCCATTGTCGATCACTATACTAAATGTTAAGACAGAAAATCTGTTTTTCAGTGAAATACATTATGAAAATATTTTTATCAGGAAAAAAACCCCATGTATTACATGGTGTTTGAACAAGTCTAATGTCTCTGGATTAGAACGCAGTGGGAAATATTAAATACCATTATTTGCACACATAGATTTCTACCTAAGCCTGCTACTGTGGAAGAAAAGGCAGAGAAGTCTTTCCTGCTGCACGGCCCTTTGGCACTGCATTGCCAAGGACAAACGGTTCTTCCAGCTAGAGGGTAATAGCAGGGTTAAGCAGTGGGTGATCCTCTAACAGCACTGATCTTATGTATAAGTGCCTCTATCCCTCTCCATCTCTGCTCCTATGAGAGGACAAGCTTTAGTCAAAGGAACAGATGAGGTTTTTGGCAGGGCTCAGGTATCATTCTGGGTGCTGGGGGAATACTGGCAGTTAGCCATTAAGCCCTTGCACAAGCCAATAGATTACACCATTAATCCTGTAGACTTTTCTTCTAAACTGCAGTGAGGACGAGTCATCAAAGGATCTATCTTGAGAGTTCAACGTAACAGAATACGGTTGATAATACTATTTGACTGAAGTATTGATGTGGAAGCAGGCATAAGCATACTGAAAATAAAGTTAGATGGAAGTAAGAATCCAGACAGACTTAAGAATCAAGAGAACAGCAAAATCAAAATAATTCTGAGTTTGACTAGGTTTTACCGAGCTGGCACATTTTTTCAACTACTGGAGTCAATCAAGACATTTATTCAATACCAATCCTGACATGGGGAGTCATCTGCTGATGAGGCCTTGTATTTATTTATTTATTTTTGCAAACAGTAAAATATCAGAAAAATAAAATCTTTTGCTGAAGAGACATATAAGCAATTTTTGTTCCAACCAAACATTTTGTTTTTCTTTCACCCCATACTCAGTTAAGGAATTCACAGCAAGGGTGAGTAAAAGTGTAACAGCTAAATATTTCTAAATGTGTCATTCTGAGTGCATTTAGTACCGTAACTTTTGAAATATGATACAGTCTATTCTCCAGAAACATTTTGTTACTAGCTGGAGGCAAGTTCAGATAATTTTTTCAGAAACAAATTAACCTTTCAAAACCCAATTAAAAAACCTTCTAGATCTACTAGCATTCATTAGGTTCATAGAAAAACTTCTGCAGTTCAAAGTAAATAAGGAACTAAAATGGTATTTTTGTTTGGGGGAGGTTAAACACACTCTCATCCTTTACAAAAATCTTAGTAAATTCTGGATCTGTATAACCACAGGTTCCTTGGCCATGTCCTACCCAAACCTCTAACAAAAGGTGTGCCATAGTCCTGCATCCGTGAGGTACTTCAATACAGAATTCTCTGAATCACCTCTGTTAGCATCATCCATGAGATACACATCCTTCCTAACATGGTAGGACAGTCCATGGACAATGGATTTGATTTAAATTTTCAAAAGTGGAAATATAAAAAAATAAGAAATTCAGTGTGTATTAGCTCTAAATTCTGCCAAAATGCCTCTTCTATGAAATTTTGATCATTTAAGTTAAATCTCAAAATATGTGGAGTTCTATACTGTTGCAAGTCCATTGACATTTGCATAAAGTCACTATTACTCCAGCCTGAAAATTAAACAAACAAAACTAAACACAAAAAAACCCATCCAAACACCCCCCCCCCCCCAAAAAAACCCCCAAAACATCCTTTCTTTTGTCTCAGCTTCCTCCTCAACTGCAGATAACAGCAGTAGTATTCATTTTCTTACCTGGCTCTTGTCAGCGAGAAGATCATCAATGAAAGTGATCAAATAGAAAGTTTCTGTAGTTGGCAGCCAAATACACCACCACAAAGAGTGTTATATCAGAATATCTTGCCTTGAGTTAAAACTGAGACATTTTAAACTGTGATAAGTGAACTCCCAATAATTGTCTCACTATGATCTTGGTCTAAAAGTCTTTTAATCTAATGGAGTGTGAGCTTACTCTCGACTTTGCCAACTTGCAGATAAGTGGATACATGTTATGTTTAAGAAAAATCTATAGCCAGCATTGCTTAATCTGTCAAAATAATTTTAGTATCTGCTGGAACTAGCTAAGGAAAACTTTTGTCTCAAGAACAAAATTTTCCCATTGAATAGTTCCCCTTTCACCATCTTCTCCCCCCTTGCCCCCCACCATCATCACATCAATGAAACCCAATTTTACTTTGAAGCTTTTTTTATTCTCATGTCTAACCTGACATAAAAACTTGTAATTGCTAATTGTTTATTCCAAGCTAACACTTGTAAACTTCTTGTAAATTTGCCTTGAGCAAATTCTAGGTCTGAGTAACAACAGTCTCTCTGTACAGATTCCTCTTAGTTTACAGTGCAACATTTTTAATCTCCTGTTCAAACCTGGGGTATAGAGCTCACATACATCACTAAATAGCTGTGGTATTCTACTCCAGGGAAATGGACAACACATCAAAAATGCCTTTCTCTTTTCGTAACAGATTTATTATGTTTATAAAAGGGCTACTTCAAGCATTAGATTTGAGACAGAAATCTAGCAATGATGTCTTTAACCTTGCTGTCCTTTTTCAAAGAACTGGTACTTCAATTCCTCTCCATAAGCACTTAAAAAACCGAACAATGATGTACTGGTTGCTGCTAAAAGGGCTGCCCTTGCCCTTTTCTGATGGATAGCTGCCATATGCTGTTATCTCCCTCTCGGCTGCTGAACATTCCCATTATGTTTAGTATTTCTCTTATCATGGAGGAAATGGCAATGTTGCAAAGACTTGAGTGTCTGCTGCAAAGTGCTCAGTGCCTTTGCTTTTAGCTTCTACTAAAGCATTGGGTTGTACCCACATCGATGAATAATATGTTAGACATTTTTTCCCTCGTTCTCTGAGAAGTTTAAAATGTAATTGTTACTATTCAGGCAGACCTACCTGTAATTTGATAATTTCACATTTCAGATTCAATGACTCCCTGAAGCCATGTCCAAAAGCTCTTACTGATGTGCAGTCATACTGTCGAATATTGCACAGCCCAGCATTCTCCAGCTCTGTAATTTCTGGAGCCTGGTCTTTGAAGTAGAGATTAGACAATGAATGTCAGTATATTAACTCGTTCATATGCATTTACATTAAGCAGTATGTTTATTTCTCTATCCAACTAAGAAAACTATGTAAACAATTAAATCTGGACCCAGCTGAAGAAAGGCATAAAGAGAAACATTTTTTATTGTTAAAATGAACCTTAACTTTAAAGCTAAGCTTCTGTCTTCTCTTGGAACTTGAGTATTATGAAGCAGAGAAAACATTCATCTGGTAACAAACACTTGTGAATATGTGTTTTGCTTTCTCATCTATAGTTCTTTACATCACACTTGCAGAATAAAATCTAAATGAAACTCAGGCCCTAGTAATAGGAACTGGAAAGGTTACAGTTATACAATAATTTATAATGGGAATTTTTTGTTTAAAGACTAAACAAAAACATCTCAAGTGGAAGTTATTTCAGGAAATAAACTGACAAAGATTAGAACACTCCAAAATAGTTTTTATGAAGTAAAACCAGTCTATTTGACTTCAAGAGGAATAAAATATTTCTTTTTATTATTCTCTTACCTCTTTCTCTATTTGCTTTTAAATGGGTCACCAAAACAAAAACACCATTGCAAAACAAAATATTAACAGGTTCTGTTTTGAAAGGGTTTTGATTTTTGTAGTACTTTTCATATTTTTCCAGTGTACCTGCTTAACTGAATTTTTAGTGAATGCCTTATTTATTAAAAAAAAAAACCAAACAACCCTGTCCAGCTCTATTTGCTTTACTACTTTTTTCTTCACCATCAATTCTGCTCCCACCACTTCTGACATAGTTAGCTTACAGAGATGTAACATCACCAAAGAGAAAAACATCCCACTTACAGTTAATAAACAGGATCACATAGACTATATAAAATTAGGGAATGGATGCATGTGGCAGATCTTCCCTGAAGAAGACAGAGTATGGAAACATTTCTAATCTCTTGGGGCAATGTTCTGGACTGCAAACTTGCTGAGTGGTAAATATTTTAAATCTGACATTATCAGAAACTAAGTCCATGTTTTGCCCTTTGGAAACAAGAAAGCTGAATAGAACACAATTATGGCTGCATTAAACTGGAACTAAATTGCTGGATAACAAACAGGGCCACCATAAGGAACCCTTGTCAGCGTACAAAAGCAAGAGAGAAAGGCAGAAAAATAAATGTATGTTGCACAAACATTGAGAACATTATTTAAGTAAATCTTTTTTTTTTCCCCCACTTACCAGACAGTATGCTGCAGTCATATGAGCTATAGCCTTGAAAACATGCACAGCCCCATTCTGTACATTCCCCGTTACCACTGCAGAGACTGGGACACTTTAATGCAATAAGTAGGCTCTCAACCGACCCTTCAAGTTCCTGTTGGTTGTAATTTATTTCTTCTAAAACTCTTTTCTCACATTCATTCTCCAGAAGAGCTAAGGAAGCTTCTGCCCAACTGAGGTCATCTTTCAGCAGCAAATCTTTAACACACATATTGACCGCATCCTCTATTCGCCGGCCAAGAAGGCCACCACAAGATCTTCCTATACTGGAATTAGCTATTGCCTGCTGGCATAGTAACAAAGTGCTAGACTCAGTGAGGCCAGAAGGTGTGGGCCAAGAAGGAAGAAACTTTTGGTCTGTGTCAGTGGCATGGTCCTCTGGGAAAAAATAACTATATCCCTCTAAGTCTGTTTGGCTAAGACTTTGGAATAGAAAAACTGGATGGTATTCATAATAATTTTGGCGCTTCCCCCTACTTGTAACAGACTGACTTTCGTGAAGATGACTACTATAACGGTGAGAATCTCTTCTAAGGCCTGAGCTTGAAGTTCCTTTTCTTCCTACATCAGTATTTCCCACTGAGGTTGTAGAGACACGTGTATTTACTAGTGATGTTTTGTGAAGTTCGGTTTGACTATCCTCCCTCTGCAGAAGTGTAGATGAATCCATTTCATGTGCAGACGAACGTTTCTTTAAGCCTCTGACAAGATCGACAGGACCAAGAAACTCAGCAGTGACATCCAGTCCTGGTATCAAAGAAAGAAATCTACCGTTTTCATTTTCTTTACAAGACAGAGGAAGTTCTGACTGAGAAACTGTCTCTAGTTTATTCACTGATCGATATAATCTAGTATTTTCAAGTGCACAGTCGCAGAAGGCTATTTTTCTAGATGATGTTAAAGAAGCAGGTGTCTTGTCAAACAAGCTATCTCCTGGTGAAATTCTAGAGAAGAAAGAAAAATATGAAACTGTATCTGAACTATTTTCATTGTTTTAGTAAAGCTTTAACATTTGTTTTGCTTTTTGTCGTTTCATACTTCTACAGCATAGATCACAGAATCTGCAGCATACAGCTATATTTAAAGACCAGTTAAATCACAAAACCATGAGGGTAACTTGTAATAGAAGAATTGAGAAGAGTGGATATTTTCTGTATACCTTGATACTTTATTCAAAACCTACTCAAACTCATCTTATATCATACCACTTAAATATTAATTTGGCACTTCAATTTCAATTTTCTCTGAAATTAATTATGGAATGTAAAGATGACATTCTAACATTAACTTAAAAACTTAGGAAGATTTTTTATTATTTTGACAAGTTTTTAAGAGTGTGAAGGAAAGGTTAAACCAAAAATGATGACATTTGAGTGAAACAGTATTTTGTTACCTCCATTCCTTAATAAAAGAAAAAGGAACATTAGCATGGTTTGGGATTTCCACCCCACTTGCAGTGTGATAGTCATTCTCTGCACTTCCGTCAAAGGTGCCACAGAGTCCCATTGTATGTCTGTAATCTGAACTGGGTGCCCTAAGTGTTATGCTCATTCCCCATTCACTCACATCAGCACGAACGAAAGCTCCAGAAGAAAACAAAACCTAGAAAGAGATTGATGATATCATCATGAGAAACATGATTTTTATTTTACCTAATGAAAGCAGGTGTGCTTGTTGGCAAGGAACAATTGGAAAAGGCCAGGAATATAAAGACATCCCATTAAACTCTTGCTCTAACTATTCTGGATCAGACAAATTTCACTATTTCTTCTTCACGTGAAGCCCTGTAAATAAAACCCCTGTACATCTCAACCTTAGCAGGCAGCTAGATGGTGCACTATAGGTCCATAAACTTCATTCATCATTAGCAGGTATATTGTGGAAGGTCAGTGACAGCAAAACCACAGAGAATCAAAAATCAGCTAGGCTGCTCACTCTTCACATGATAGCATATGGAAACGGATGATTCTGGTAATATGAATAGACTCTTTTGACAGCACCCTTCTCAACTTACTTTTTGTCAGCTACAGGATTCCCTGTGTTAGTAGCTTAATATAGAGTCACTTTCTACCTGCAAAGCTGATCCTCATTGTTCTAGATACCTCAGAATAGCCTCAAATATCTACTATTTAATTTAGGGAACTTTACAATCTCTTGAAAGAAATACTAGAAGTCTCAAGAACAAAATCCACTGCAAGTTTAAATGCTGTTTCTATTACTAACTTGCTGTACAAATCTCAGCAAGTGACTTAATTCTTCTGGTTCCTCAGTGTCCTTTTAATTTCTCTATTGCCTAGCCATCTTAATATTTCATATCCGAGGTCTTCAGATGAAGTGCTTCAGATAAAAGTTAAATATTTAAAATAGTCTTATACCGATAGCCAAACCCAAGTTGAAAAGGCGTATCTGTTTTTATGGCTTGCCTTCCAGACCAACAGAGTGATTAAAGAGCAGTTGAGGGCTTCATTTTCACATTCTGCTTCACTTGAAATTCAGTGGAGTCCTACAGCAACTCTATCTACAAAAGAAAATCTACAGGAAATTACAAAAGTAAACATGAATGTTTTATCTGAGGGCCACATTCTCTAGAGAAACCATCTACACTTCTAATTCTGTGGATGTCATTTGGCATACTTAATTATCTGCATGCACAGCCTTCCTATATGACACTGGCATGAGTGAAAAAGAGCCCACAGAGATCTCATTCTGGAACATCAGGGCTGCTAAATAAGCGCATATCTGAATCTGAAAACTGCACCTTCCACACAAGGGTTGTACACTGTGATTGACAACATGGTTCCAGAAAGGAATGCATGTTGACACATCCTTGTTTTTGAGGACAACATCCTTCACTTACAAACAAAACACTGGCCAAAGGACTACGGCTGTAAAATAAACATTATGCTATTGATTAACTGCAGAAAATAAAACATGTTTTAGTTCTGAAGTTGGTGTGAATTGGTAAAAATAATTGCTGAGATAATCATTACATCTGCAAGCAATTATTTACTACTTACTGTTACTTTTCTTCCCAGATAGGATTCAGTGATTCTGACATTACTTCCTGTTGTGTCTCTATTTATTACAGATAAGTGTGGCTGTGACTCACGTAGCTGACCACTGCACATGTCAAATGCAATTATATCACTTCCTTCTTTGGCAACAAAGCCACAGTTACAGGATGTTGGGTAGCGAAGACTTCCACAGTCCCACTGGCGAACATGAACTTCAAAATCTCGAGATGTACTCTTATACAGAACAAATGTTCCTGTTTTAAAATTGTCATAGAGTCTGGAATCAAAAGAATAGCATGTGATATCACTTTGGTTATAAAATAACTGTATCACCAGATCAGCAACTTTATCTTAAAAGAGATTTCTGACATTTGGTGATCTTTGATACTGCAACTCATTTTCCTGCATCAGAAAAACCAAACAGCACAGCCCACAAACACACAACCTTGTTCTGAACAAACACCATCATATCTTCCTCTGTGTAGCTCTGAACTGAAAAAATTAAACCTGTTTCACAGCAGAAAAATAAGGAATAAAAGAAGGATCATGACTGGATTATATGTAGACAAAGGTTGTGAATGGAAACAAAACCATGAAGCCACTGCCATTCTTTGACATTTTAACAGTGCTTATGACAGAGAACTGGAGAGTACTTCTCAACCTTTGTGTTGCTATGGTAGTACACCGATGCAGCAAAAGCAACAAGATGCACAGCAGTGTGCATGTGGGGGGGCAGCGGGAGGAGAGAGGAGAGGAGAGAGGAGAGGAGAGAGGAGAGGAGAGGAGAGGAGAGAGGAGAGGAGAGGAGAGAGGAAAAAACCTCAAACTTTTGCAGGAAGTTTAACAGCCTCTTGGCTATAAATGGCATTTGACAGTTAATTGCAGAATCTGATTTGCTTTGTGTATAATGGACCAGTAGACAAACTGCAGACGGCTACCCTACTGGGACTGCACAGGATTACCTGTGATTCAGTAAGGACAGTTCCTTTTTGTCGTGGTTTAACCCCAGCCAGCAACTAAACACACGCAGCCGCTCACTCACTCCCCCCCATCCAGTGGGATGGGGGAGAAAATCGGGAAAAAGAAGTAAAACTCGTGGGTTGAGATAAAAACGGTTTAATAGAACAGAAAAGAAGAAACTAATAATGATAATGATAACAATAATAAAATGACAACAGTAGTAATAAAAGGATTGGAATGTACAAATGATGCGCAGGGCAATTGCTCACCACCCGCTGATCGACACCCAGCGAGTCCCCGAGCGGCAATTCCCTGCCCCCACTTCGCAGTTCCTAAACTAGATGGGACGTCCCATGGTATGGAATACACTGTTGGCCAGTTTGGGTCAGGTGCCCTGGCTGTGTCCTGTGCCAACTTCTTGTGCCCTGGCTGGGCATGAGAAGCTGAAAAATCCTTGACTTTAGTCTAAACACTACTTAGCAACAACTGAAAACATCAGTGTGTTATCAACATTCTTTGCATACTGAACTCAAAACATAGCACTGTACCAGCTACTAGGAAGACAGTTACCTCTATCCCCGCTGAAACCAGGACACTTCTATTTGTTTCCTCAATTTGTAAAATAAAGTAGCAACAGACTTTATCCTTAAAAAGAAAGTTCTTTCCCTGCAGCATCATGCTTCCAGCCAGACCACATCACAGTAAATCACTGCTTCATAAGAAAGCTTGATCACAATGTATCGATGGTCAAAATGCCCTGTGAAGTCATCCCTATAATTTCCACTGCAAGTGGAACTGCAAGCTCACGATAACCCCAGTAACTTTATTATTATTATTATTACTAGTCACAGTGCTATCAGAGAAGCAATTACAAGTTGTCTTTTCTTTTTTGTTATCAAGCTCAGAAGAAAAGTGGGGTAGTGGGCTGAACATCCTTATCTGGAAGCAACCTATCCTCTTCTTCTCACCCTGCCACTTAAAGAAATGTGCTTCTGCTGAGCAGAGAATATAAAAGTCCCAGGTGTGGAACTTGTGTTTGTTCTGACACCTTCCATGAATTAGAAACACTTTGAAACACAGAAGCATACCAAAAACATGCCAGCTGTGGCCAGGGAAGCTGTCTTCACTTTAGAAAGAAGGTTAGTGATGTGCAAGTGGCAGCAGTGAATAAGTCGCTTTCAACACCATTAATGAGCTCAGCACAATGTTACATAGATAGCAGATAGCTTCTAGCAACTTGATCCTCACAAGGATTCAGATACTGACACCCAGAAACAGAGAAACTACGCTGTAGGTTGGAAACACCTTTGCATTAAAAGAGTTTTGCCTAATCAATCATTTTATCATTGTTCATATTTAATAACATTTCTATCTTTCATAGTCAACAGACTGTACAGCAACCACTCCTCTCCTGGCATACTCTTCTAAAAAGGAAAATAGTCCATTTGCTTCACTCTTTTGCCACAACGCCAAAACTTGCATTTAGAAATACAAATATTGCAAACATCATCATGACTGGCAAGCTTTTACTAACTAAAGCACATTTATCCTTATTGTCTGAGAAAAAATGTAAAATACCGAGTGCAGTTATAGAAAACTACAGCTAACGGCTATCACCAGCACAGTTTTAAAATAAATAGAACATCCCTGCAAAAAACACCCACAGAAAATCCCAACACACTTAAAATTAAGAGCAACAATCCAGTGATTACCTTCCATCAAATGTAATTATATGAGGGTCAGTAAATGAGTAGCAGTAGGCAGTGGGCAGATCCTTTACTGTAATCTTCAAAACAAAGAAGCACATAGTGAGCCATGTCAGATTAGGAAATAAACAGACTCAGGTGCATTATTTATCTTATGATACTAGTTTACATTCTAATAAATATATTATGTTATACTTTTAATCAATCTGAGTAGTTATATAAGTATTAAAATGTAAAAAAATTAATTCAAATGAAAGCGCAGCATTTCAATGAAAATAAAACAAAAGAAAATTGACCACTTAAAAATCTTGGTGTGAGTCAGCAAGTCACAACTGAAATAGAAGCTTCATTAACATCAGCCACATTTCTGGCCAGTTTACAGAGCTTAACATGAAGATTTTCAACCTGTATGCTTTCTGGAACATAGCCATTCCACAGGAAATTCTCACTGGATATAGGTTCGACTGCAATTCTGGTAATCCTGTCTCCGTCCTGCATAAAGTCTGTCACAGCAGTGAAATAAATTACAGCTTGACTACAGATTCCATTATTGCAGGGTTTCTGGAGAAGATCCACATGACAAGAAGAAAGAGCCAAGTTTAAACCTAACTGCTCTTTACCTGTTTTAATGAAAACACATCATTAGTGAGTTTTCCTCTAAATAAGTCACATTTTGTATACTACTGTTAAGATAGATACATAAATGATTTACAAACATTTTCATAAATTAAAATAATTATGCATTTTTCTTGGGTTTGGTCATGCAAAACCCCCTCTCTACATCTTCATACACACACCCAAGAAAATGGTTTTGAATTTTCCAGTTTGATAGAGAAATTAAAATCATTATAGGCTTGCTAATGTGACATAAAAATGGTTGTCTGCATAGGCAAGGCTCCTCCTGGGGTTCACAGGACTTGTGCTTGAGGAAGTACTATAGAAAACAGTAAGAATAGTAAAAAATGAGGACTTCATGACTGCATATACAATACTTGCAACAAAACAAGTCAACAAAATTAACTGAATTACGAACTTTGTAGGTATTACAGTATTCTGTCTATTCAAGTTAAAGAATATGGCTCCAATATCCATAGCTGCCAAAACCACGTGCTAACTTCAACAAGTAATGGATTATGGACACATTCTTCCATACTTTCAGCAGCCATATATACAGCTTGTGAATATTCTGTTTTAACATCTTCTTAGAAAGTATTTTGCAATGTAACAGCTTCTCCAAGGAGACCAGTGGGAATATTTAGAAAAACACATTAAACATACAAAATGCAACAGATCAGGATAGTACTTACCTTCATCAACAGTATTTAATGTTAGTGAGATTTTGCAGTCACTTTCAAGCTGGCTAAACTCAGGACAAGGAACAGGAATGCTACTTTCTATTGTCAGTCTGTATTCCTTCCCATCTTCTGATATATCATATGTTTCTGTATGTATCTAGCACAGAAGAAATTGTACTTAAAATGCAAGCTTTGTGAGTAAACTACAGCACCACCTACTAACCAGCTTGGAGTACAGTATAAAAAACTAAAGAGATGGAATGGCACGGTGCATGGCTGCTGCACTTGATCAGGCTTATTGAGATGGTCTGAAGAGCAGCAGCATACTGGGGAGCAGATGAGGACACAGCAGCAAGAGTCTTGAAGAGGTAGGAATAAGGGGCAAGGATAATGTAAAGGCAAGAGTAAAGGCTAGCTAGAAAGGTAAGGAATTGGCAAACTACATTAATACCACAAAAATGTATTCTCTGGGTAACTTCTGTAAGCTAAAATACAAACAGTTTGGTGTATTGTCTGGAGGGAAGGGAGGGGGAAGCTACCTACAGGCAACAATATCCCAAAAGAATTTGGAAGCCCCGTATTTCTCCCGGGATTCCTCTCCGTAAACCTCCATCACAGCTCACCATAGATGCATAATCAAAAATGCAACGAGCCATCAGTAACAGAGGCCTACAACTGAGCATTGTACATTGGGTGAAATCCTGAACACAGCCTTACAGGAAAACAAAAATAATGCATTCACACTTCGCAGTGTGCACTACAGACTTGCACTTACATGAGATAAATCTGTGCCCTGATCCTGCAGAAACATAAGCTCAGACTTAACTTTATGAAGTGCAGAACCTTAAGTCAACAGGACTATTCCCAACATGTAATGACATGCACTATATCTTTCTGGGACTGGGGTCCCATTCCCAGCCAGCAAATGGGTCCCTATAGCTACAGCCATAGTAGGAATTAAAATGAGTTTGGAGCTTGGCCTCTGACCAAGTGGCTCATGTCCCAGTTTCCCTCTCTAAGCCCAGACCAGGTTGGCCTCAGGCTTCCCTTACCCCCATGGACAGCTGGGAAGAGGCCCTGACCTGGGCTATCCCATGAGCCGTGTGCTGGGAGAACCCACTGGCACAGGACAAAATCATGTCAGAAAAGGCAGCAGCAGTTAAACATAATGGACAACAGCGTGCCAGAGCTCAGGTCTGAGCCATGGCCCTCCTAGTTTACAAATACTGTGTCAGAGTCTACTCCAGCTCCTGGAAGTCAAGGCTTTCACTACATGTGTGAGTTGCCGATTCAGCCTTCCTGCACCTTGAGTACATGGGCAGCACAGAAACAACTTTGACCCTTCTGCTTTTTGACAAATTTAAGTTCACTACAGCCAACAACAGGCTCTATTAATTCACAATTAATACATTTTGAGTGCCTTCTATTCAGAGGACTGACTGCTGTAGCAATACTCAGAAAGATTCCTAGTACAATAAATTAAAACATTATTTTATTTCAAAATTACCTTAATGCCAGCAAAAAATTCCTTGCTCTCAACAGAAGAGCTTTGTATATCCGGCTGCTCCATGAAAAAAGCAGTACTGCTACAATAGACCTGAAGGGCAAAACCAGCATCATAAAATACATTTTTGGTATGAAGTGGTCACATGAAGACAAAACCCAGCCACCATGGGTCAGTTTGATGGATTCATCACACCCAGTCTTCTGTTTGCACCAGAAGTTACCAATTGCCAGTGGTGCTGCTTAAGAAAAACACAGGAACAGGTCGAGCATGCTAAGACCTTTTCCTGGCATATTCCACCAGTGGTGCAGACTTCTTGAACTAAAGGCCACATACAAACCAGCATGTTTAACAAGCACCTAAGTCTCCACAGATTTAACAAATTCCTTCTGGAGCCCATCTTGCAGAAATGCATTCTATAATTCATTACATGTTGTTTACTTCTTTTTGTCCATTTCACATTTTTTGCCTTTTAATTTTCTTGAGTGCCCATGAAATGTATGCAAAACAACCATCCCCTCCTCCTCCTCTTCTTACTATACTTTTTTCCTAGTGTTATGGGCCTGGACAATCTTTTTCAAGCTGAAGAACTTACTGTGATTTCCCTCCGCTGAACCAGTTCCATGCTACTAGACACCGTGGTTTTGAATTTTTTCTTTTATTTTGCTGTATCCCTTTTTAGATGTGTTGACCACACATGCAATATTTCAGATCCTGAGAAAACCCAGGATTCATAGCAGCAGCAGGTAGTTTGAGACTGTGCCTTTCCTTTTGACTGTCACTGAGCTAACACTGTCAGGCAACTAATCACAAAGTCCCCACAGGATTTTTGAGGATTAGCAATTGTATTGTTGTCCAAGCAGCCTGGCTTTGGCTTGAACACACATGCACACACACACCAACCATGTGCTTTTTGGGTTTTTATTTTGGCCAGGAAAAATTAACCTGTATTTTGGTATACACAGGTAGAAAGCTTATTGACTTTCCAATGCTTAAGCTTGTCAAAGTTACCATGAGAGCCTAGGTCTTGATTCTGCTACCATGGAAGGTAATGCAGGTACTCCCACTGCTTTTGATGGCAGAGATTAAACCATTTAAATCCAATCCTAGAGACAAAACCATCAAGCAGCAACTCATTACTGATTCAGAGAAAAGGTATCTGTCTAATGAATCAACAACACAGCTTCTCACAACCTGTGGCTCTTACAGCCTCCCACTCAGATGCAGTTGCACCCAAAAATCCTCTTCATTTACACTATCAAACAGAATCACAGTAGAGGGTGAAGAAGATGCAACTTGAATAAACGTTTATCTCCTGGAGGCACACTATACTGTACTGAGACAGTCTCAAAACCTTAACGACAGTGAATCAGTGATATATTCTGCGGTATTTCCACATTCATATGGGCACTGTTAGTGTAAACAACAACGAGAGGCAGTATGCTTCTGCCAAGGAAAATTATACAGCAGCATGCTGGAACTCTGTTTCTAACAACTGTTTATGTCTACTGAGCCATATTTACAAAGATACAAAGAGATTATGTTTTAACATACTCTGTCTCCAAGTCTGACGTTTATCCCATCTAGTTCTAGAAGTGAAAACGTATGAACTGCAGTTTCATGTTTCAGTTCTTCTTTGATACCTTCAGGAGAAAGTCTTGACCAAGTGACAATGAATCTGACTGAGCTGTTTCCAAAAGGAACACCAAAGGTACACCTTAGGTAAATGCTGCCTTCGATCAGCTCCGCTACAACTTCAGGAATGGCTGGTAGTGGTGGTGACACAGATGGAGATGATGAAGGAGCCAGGTTACCTAGTCAAACAGAAGTGTGGTTTGTGCAAAAACAGTATCGGATGAAATGACATTTACATGTATTTTGCCAATTAATACACTAATACTATTTTTTTCATATGTGGAAACATTACATTATTACTTAAAGAATCAGAGAAAATGTGTATGTTCCTTTTATGAATTGTTAAAAGGACAAAAAATTCTTTATCAGCCTTTGGTTATATTCTAGCCTATAGGAAGGTGCTGAAGAGGGGAAAAAAACAACCAACAAAACCAAGGGAATAAAATACAATTAATTATTTTACCACACAGGAGAGAGCAACATACAAGGGAATTTGCCTGACAGAAGAATATTTGCTCTACTTACGAAGAAAGGCGGGGGAGGGGGGGGAAGAAAAAAAAGAAAAAAAAGGAACAGAATAAGCAACAGTATGATTTGTAGATTCATCTTATATTTGACTTCCAAAGAATCAAAGTATCTATAAATCAGTATTATTAAAATTACTTCTTAATATTTTGGTACTTATTCTGAACATTATACTGAGAAAGTACTTTTGTAACCCAAGGTCTGAAATCACCTCCAAATTGCTCATTTTGCAACAGACTGAGCAATACTATTGATAACACGAACATGTTTTTGTTCAAGACAGAATATGACTAAATGTTGACATTATTGGGTCATAGATGCAGAGAAGAACTTGAAAATCAAAACAAAATACTCACTGCTACAGACGCCTTGAACTTCCGTTCCCTCAGGATCACAGGTCTGTGGCTTTGCATCTGAAAGAACTACAGGTTGTTCTTAAATTGTATATTCACATACATACAGAGTATGCACACCAATGCTTTTAAATTAATGCCCTATGTTAAAAACACACCAAATATCACAAGACACTAATGGAAGTGTAAATTAGCAGAACAGAAGCAGTCTTGTAATCCAATCCATATACAATTATGGTACCAGTCAGTACAAAGCCTTGTGTTGGAAATCACAAGTAGATTGGCTATACCTAGGAGGAACGATACAGAACATAGTACCACCTCTGTATCTTTTACTGCAGATGTACCCAGCCAATACTTATAGGGGTTCTTAGTGAATAAAAAGGAATTAAACTATTCTCTTGAATATTTATTTTGTCTCCCCAAATCTACATCTGAATGCTTATTCAATAACTGCAACCCTGGACAGCCAAATTCAGTGCAGACCTGCTTTGAAAAAAAATCATCTTTCCTACAGGGGCCTAAGAAAAAGTGCTTGTGCACTGTTATTGTTTGGTACTTTGAATATCATTCTAAAAAAAAAAGTGAAACTTTGATTAAACATGAAAATACCAGTGCATTTGTAACAGGAGTAGAAAGAGGTTAGTCACTCCACTCTAAGTCAAAAGGGCAGCAGCAACACTGAAAACCCCATTCAGCAAAAAGAATGAAGAGCAGATTTTGATGTTCCACATTTCAGTGATACATTTGACTTCCTCAGCATGTAGAAAAGAGACTATTTGAAAATTTGCATCAAGTGTTTACAGCTATCAAGTGTTAAAGAGAAAACACAGTACACATGGTAACCTAGATACAAAAAGCAGCACAAGAGTACAACACACTTGGAATGAAAACATCATCTTAAAAGAGGGCTTTTAAACTCAAAATGTGTTTCAGATTTACAGTATTCAGCGGAGCCAAACCAGAGTTATGTTTCTTGCCTACTTTGTTTTGAGGCAGTAAAAATTTGCTAGCTGGCTGCCTGTGGTTTTTATATCCTCTTTCCTCTTCATAAGCCATCATCCAAAGTAAATGCAAAGTTCTGTAGTGCAGGAGTTCTTCACTGCTTCAGTCACTTGCATGCTGAAATGCCCCATTTTTTGTATTTTTCTTCTGTCAATAAACCCTTGGATAATGTCTTAACAATTGGACCTAAAGGTATAGTGATAGGCCAATAAAGCACCAGAAAACCCACTGATAGTCTGCTATTAAACTTTTGAAGGCTGTCAGTACTAGAGGATATTGTTTAGAGCAATACAGTACATGATGCATAAAAATACTGCTAGTATTTTCACAACAGTGTGTTACACAAGCTAATAAGAATTTCCGACTACACTAATTTGTCACTATTTCACAGTATTTATAACTGTAAGGATTTAACCTTGCTTTCCTTAAGTTATCTAAAACATCTGGCATGAATAACTAAATACTGAAGTTTTGAGCTGTGAACACCAATGCACTTTTGCAGCACAAGGGTCCAAGACAACACAGGGCATTGCAAAAGGACTCCACTTCAGCTCTTTCTCATAGTACTAATAAAGTACTTACCAGTAGAGCATTTCTGTGTTGAATTTTCTTCTAGCAACAACGTGTATACTCTCCAGAAAGATGATAAAAGATTTACAGTAAGAAAAATACACCTGATGATGCTAAACAATATTTGATAAAAATACAGTTTGGTCAAGTTCTTAAACAAAATTTACTCTGATACATAACTTTACGTATATTCAGTAACAGGTATTTGCAGAGTATGAGTGCCATTGCAGATACTCTGAGTTTTGACTTTTAGATGTGTCTTATATTATATGGAAGATTTCAATTCTTAAGTTTCTGGGCTTTGAACAACACTGGAGTGCTAAATGTAACTTAAAAAGGGGTAGTGCGAACCCACCTTACCATACCAAATCATTTTTCTATAGTATCAATATTAAAAGTAAGGATTGCAAGAAATTTTAGCATGTATAAGTATTTCCAGACATTTCCTCTCAGCCCAATATCAGAGAAACACACTTACTCATAAACACACACACTTAGCTGAGTTAGAGCATCCATTTTCTCACCTTCTGCACAATACCCCATGCATCCTTGGGTGGGCTGCAGTAAGTAAACAAAGAAATTTCCACAGTTCCTCACACTGACAGGGATTCGGAAAAGACAGCAGTCTTTTGAAGTGCTGAAGAAAAACTGCCACGTAGCACAAGCCGTTAACTGTTTGATCTCACCGGGTCCAGGCATGGATTCTGACTCCCTCAGAGACAACCAGACAGGGGCTTGAGTACCACAGTGATTCATCTTCAGCACCAGAGAAAAACATCAGAAAATGGTTAATGCTATATCAAACTGTTGCTGTGCTTTAATGAGAGGTACATATGTATTCAATTAATTTCCTGCATGAGCTTTTAGCAAACTTTAGACAGTATAATTGAGGGCTTGCTTATTTTCCTCCTCAAGGTTGAATACAAATACACACAAAAGAGACTCAAGTCCTTGAGTCTGATGAATTTGTGTTTCTAAAGACAGGCTATAATTTAAAGCCTGAAGAACTTAACTGGGAGCTACACCTGAGTGTTTTGCCCGAAAAAGCTAACAGTTGTGTTATGGCTTAGTGATATACATCCATTAACCGTCAGTAACTGACTGCGTGAACGCTATCGGAGCACAGCAAATACAGGGCAGAACATACTTACACTGAGTATCAACTAAAGGTGCTAAAGCTGACACATTTTATCTGCCCTTTGCCATGGACTGAAGGCTCAGCTAACCTCCTGGACTTCTAGGAGATGTGGCCAGCTGATGCAAGGTTACTGACTTGCAGCCCTAGCCAAAAATGCAAGACACCCGATAAGCCCTGTCTGTCTTTCAATTCCCCACCTTTAGAAATACATATGCTTGTAGAACCACCCGTAACAAGCACAGTGAGTTTGTAGGAACCCTAAACCCTTTGGTGTTTACAAAGCAGTGGGCGTCACAAGGTCTGTGGTTCAGATGCTGGTTCAAGAGATGATTTAAGAGGGCTCTTGTTCCCTCCCTTGCAAGCAAAAGCCTTGTTCAGTGCTTTTCCTCATGGATTGAGAAGTGCGCTGTGGAACAGTCTCCTTCACCCCTCACCACTGTGGCTATGTGAGGTCTTCAGGCCAAGGAAGCTGCCACGCAGGTCACAGCTTAACAGTAGCACCAATCATGGTAACCAAAGCCTAAGTCTGATTTAGCATACAACAGAGTTTACCAGGGGAATACAGAAAAATGAATCCTGAGAAAAGGAGACAAAGAAGGAATCTGGTTCTTGGGTTACCAGAATGAGTTAAAGATCACCTCCTGTCTTTCATGTGCTGCAGAAGGCAAACTGAGGAGAAACACCTAGAAGGACACGGTGTGTTAAAGTCAGAATTTGGAAAATATTTACATGAAAACTATAATCTGAAATTGTGAGATTTTGAGAACCTGTCCTCCTTCATACATTGTATCAAGTATTCCTTTCTTTGACCTGATAGTGAAACAAGGTCTCAGATCATCTTGTCTTTAGACCTCTTGGTCTAAAGACTGCTGCAGACTCATTAAGCAATTACTCATCTCAAAAGTACACTTTTCTTTCTTAATCTAGAATATCTGAGCCCAACATCAATCCATCAGACAGACAGAATTAATGGGATGGATTGTTTAACAGAGCCTGAATCTTTGACAAGGATTAAATATAGCTATAATAAAAGTTCTCCTAAAGGGAAAGAAAGAAGGAAGCTTCCCAAACAAGACATCCATTTCAGTTTGGTTTTAATGTTTTGAGATTTCAAAATAAATGTCTTGTTTTTGTCAACAGATGCAAAGAAGCAGATGTCAATGCATAAATTTCATTTGCTGAATAGGTTTTGAATCAATCTCTTTCCAACTGTAATCAGCTGGACTCCTCTGTATTAGGATGGTAGCCTACTTTTACCAAATACTTACTAAGCACTGAGAACTTCGGTTAGATTTCTAAAACTTTCCTAGATGATCTGAGCAGGTATCTTGCTAGCCTAACCTCTGTTCTGAAAAACACATTGTTTTTTCCCCTGGTTTATCATGCTGGTTCTTTGCATAGAAAGTATCCATTTTGCAAAAATACTACTAGTTAATTAATTTGTTTGTATTAAATCTAACTGAAAGGAAGTTCTTCAGGAATCATACTTTTTGCTAGTTTTTTGCAGTATGAAAGCCTGGATAACAGTAGCCTCTGCAACACAGCTTTCTGAGTCCTTGAGTCACCTGCACATTAAAGGTACTTCAGTGGCTTTATACTGCTGTAAAAAATTAATAAAAACTAAACTTAAATAAATAAAATAAGAGGGCCTGCTATAAACTCAATTTAATTTTATTAGTATGTTTTAACTGTTCTGTATTCCTTTAAAAGTGTTTCATTGTTGGGCTTTTCTTTTTTTTTTTTTTTAAGAGACTGTGACCAGGCAATTTCAATTCATTAGAAAAATCACGGGTAAAATATTCTAATGACATTTCTATTTTTTTTAAACAAGGAAATGTGTTAAAGTGGGAAACTAAAAAGATATACCGCCTTAGAATATAACAATTACAGAGATGTTGTTACGTTCCAAAATAAAGCATTACAAGTCTGAAGTATTAAATATTCCACGTAATTCTTGAGTCTTACGGGACTTGCAGATGACAAGGCAACTAATCTTCAGTTAGCTCTGTTAGTTCAAGTCATTTTAGGAGTAATCTCTTCTCTCTAATATGCTCACTTTAAAAGCTCCACAATTACTGGATTCATGTGGCTCCAAGTCTTTATACGGCTTTCACATGGCCTTCCTAACAGACTGACCAACACACAGTTGCAGCTTTACAACATGATATCCCTGCTACACTGCCACTGAGAAAATCTTCTTTAGCAGTGACTACAAATGACAGTTTTTGAGTGCTCGAAAAGGGATGTAGTTTATCATCCTCTGCTATTGCCCATTCACTGTAAAATTTTCAACACTTAAGACCTAACTGTCCAGTTAACACATTTTAATATACTCAAGTATTTAGTGAGAATAGGTACTCTGTACTCCTCCACATCAGTCTCCGTAACCGTATTCTTTTTTTACACCTCCTACCGAAAAAATTCTTAAGAAAAAATATGTATTTCTCATAATCAAATGAGTTGTAACAATACCTCCACGCACTCGGTCGGCATCTCAGCAGGCTTGTCAAAAATCATAAAGCGATACCATCCTGGTGTTAGGGAATGGTCACATATTAAATCCTGAATAGCTGACTGCTGGAGGTGGGATGAATCAAAATCAATGCTTCGGTAAGGGCTCTGCAGGATCTGATGTCCACCAGGAGAGCATTCAAGAACTGTGGAGCAAGAGTATTTCAAGTATCAAGATGGAATGCCTAATAAGTATGTTAGAAAAGATGGTAAGTATTTTTAACAGGAAAATATGGATATATCACAATATGATGTGAAGCTACTTTTACTGAAAAATACATTGAAGTCTTAGTAACAACAACAAATAGGTATGTTAGCACTCTAAAATTTAATAGAATTCATCATGTGGTAACCTTCCCTTCTTTAAGTGGACAATAAATGTAAATTAATAACCACATTAGGCATTTACCCTAGATGTAAAAACAGTGGAAAGGACTATGTTTATACTTTCTCTCTGGATTTTGACTTTTTAGTTCCACTGATGTTTATGAAACCTAACAACCTGAATAAAAATGGGGTGTCAGATATACAAGAGGATCAAAGTCTCACCTCAAGAGGAGTAAGGATTATGTCTTTTGTAAATAGGCTACCACTTTACAGGGTTCCTATGCATGAAATGAAGAGTTCCTTCAAATGGATGAGAGGTAGTTGCATACAGTTTGCATGTATACACACTGATCATAGCAAGTGTGTATGGAAATGGGTAGATACTTAGAAATACATTTTAAGACAATTTGCATGACTGACATGCTAAATTTTAATAAAGACAACTGCCAAACATATTTTGGGACATCTAAGTGACCTTGTGGCCTCAAAAAAAAATCTCAAAATTGCTGATAGGTAAAATGAAGGATCAGAATCTGAAGAAGGCTTTACAACAGCCTTTTTTAAAATCCAGACTCATTCAGAAATCAAGCAGAATGTCAGAATTTCTGAGTCTGATCTGGCAGCTGAGTTGAATCCTGTCAAAGACAGTGATGGTAAAAGTTCTTGCTAATGGCATATTTGCATGCAAGGTACTGAATGGCCATTCTTGCTCAAGAATGTGCTTGGGAAGTGAAAGTATGGGAAAAAAAATCAGATAATGTTTATAAATAAATAAGATTTAAAATATATCTATCTATTTATCTTGCTTTTAAAAATGGATACTGACTGATGCTGACTGTGAATGCAATTTCAGATTATATTGCATGACACAGTTAATTCTTGCCTCCACTATGCTACTAATGAATTAAAAAAATGCAGCCATCTGCAAAGCTCTATGATCTTACATTTTGAATATTAATACTCCAATTTTCAGTTTTCACTCCCAGGTTTTTCTGTATTTGTCCCATATTTTGCATGGTGTAATTGTGTCACTGATTACAAACATATTTTGGTTCAAATCATGCAATAATACACTATCTTTCACATTTTTCATGCCAGTGTCCAGATAACGACAATTATAAAACAGTTTCAAAATCAGGTAATTCCCCTCTTTTAAATGGAGAAGATGCCCCAGTGAAAGAACAGACTTCATGTCTTTCAAGCACAGCATGAGAATCCTATAGTCTTTCAAAACCTGAAGATTTAATCTGATATGGCTTTAGGCTACCCAGGCAGGTAACAATAGCTTTATCTTCTATCCTCTAAGGGCAGATGGAAGTCAATGTGATTGACTGTGCCACCACTGTGCTTCTGAGCTGCTTGTAGTAGCCTGTAGGCTATTCGTGTCCATACAAGCTGACCTTATTGAGAATTTATCCTTCATTGGAATCTGAAGAAAAGCCCTTGAAAAATCACAGGTCAGTCATGTGTATTATTGAAATGTTTTCCAAGCAAGCTACAGCACAAGCAGTTTATGAACCATGGTGTAAGTTTCTTCCTGTCTTCTATTTTTTATTGGAATTCTCCCTTTCATATAGCACCCTCATTAGTTTTCTTTCCTGTAACTGAATCACTCCTGAAACAATTAGTATCTGTTACCTTTTCCATTAATAAATCAAGCTAGACATGAGACAAGTCTTTATTTTCTTTTCCTCCACAGTTTAATTAGATCATTGTTTGATAGATCTTTAAAACAGCTGATTGTACTCACTTGTAAATTCCACTAAAGATCAAATTATACGTTTCTTCTTATTATGCACATCACTTTAAAATGTCACCCAGCTCTTTGTGCATTCTTCCTTTCTTTTTAGAAGTATGCTAATATTTCCATAGTTATTGCTTGGAAATCTCATATTGTGTGTAACACTGCTTGATTTTTTTTTTCTTTCTTTTCTTTTCCTTACCCATTCTGCAAAACAACTGAAAATAACTGCCATCATCAATAATACAAATTAAAATATTTTATTACACATCTGAGTGTAACTGATGTGCTGTCTAACTCTAGGAACAGCAGAAACAAAACTATCATATGTATGGACACATACACAAGAAATGAATGTTGTGTTCTCTGTTAAAAAGTTATTCCTGCAGACCAGATCTGCTCAAATCACAGGCATTTAAGAGGGGAGTTGGCCAAATTTTCCACTGAAATAATGATTTCCTTATTCAGGATGTATTAAAAAGTAATTTTGATATAAGCATTCTTTCAAAATTCATTCTCAGAATGATGAATACCGATTTTGCTGTAATGCTCCAGAAAAGCTTTGCCTGTGTCTAACATCCAGCAATTTTCAGCCCAATGAGTCAAGGCTGGCAAAAAAATAAGGAACTGAAAACAGGGCCTGGTAACTTGAAAGTGCTACCTACAGGCCACGATTACCTATCAGCTCTGCCTAGTATGGGAGGAACATTAAAGCATGGGAAGCTGTATGTGCTACTGTTGACTTCATCCACGATCTCTAACGCAAAATGGAAAACTCATGTTAGTTTTAACAGAATTTATCATTTAAGCATGATTATTCTTGATGGAAATCTTTCCATATATATGGGAATATTCTTTTTAATTATTTCTTTTTGGACCTTTAAGTGTATTAGTGATTTAATAACTTTAAATACTTGCTTTAGAATAATGAAAGTCTAATTATAAAATACATAAACGAATACTTGAGAATTAAGACCGTGAAGTTCAGCCTCCTTTGTGGATTGTGCACCATTGGTTTAACCTAACCTAGCGGAGACACATGCGACAGGCTGTGAGGGGAGACTGATTTCTCGAAAGTCAAACTCTCACATTTTGTTTGGAGGTCCAGATACTACATACTGTCTGCTGAAAAAGCAATCCATCACGGGAAAATATCCAGCTGTTTCCCTAGAACTTGAGTTTACTTCTCTTACTCTGTGCTTGTTTCCACAAACACCCTATACATTGTATATGGCTCTCTACTGTTCTTTAACTGAGGTCTCTGCATGCCAGGAAGAATTTGATTCCATATTTGCTTTTTCCTGACTGTCTTCAGAGTTAATACAGTAAGGTTTTCCTGGATCCACCCCAGAGCTACTTGGTCCTGCCAGATACTGAGAAATGTGACCCTAAGCGGGAAAAGAATTCAACTTTTGCAACATCTTTAACACAAGGATAGCACTGTGCCGGTGGATGAGCCTTTTGGAAAAGATATAGACAAATCTCTGCCAACACATTGGAGTTTGTACCATGACTGGGTCAGGTAATAGGTACTCTGAACACCACACTTTAACCAAAAGTCAAACTGGTTCTTGAAATCAACACAGGAGCTCATTTTCCACAACGAGATATTTAAGTGGCTCCTGACGACTGCCTCTGAGGCACTCTGGTGGAAAAGGAGTTCCACAAAGGAAGGGCTTTTCAATTCCCCGTTCACATCTCTGTTCCAATCCATGTGCAGATAGGGACCGACGATTTTCCATGTTTCCAGCATACAGACCAGTCAGGGACTGAGGACTGCTGGGCGCAAACCAGAGCAGAGACAGGAAAAGGAGCCACTTGCAGAATACAGGCAGGCAAGGGCAGAGTGGCAGGACTGGCAACTCAGTTCCTCAGGTACCAACAGCTTATCAGTTTATATCTCCTGCTGTGCAAAGGCCAGGGTCTGGCAAATGACTACAGATAAACAAATAGTGCCATTAGTCAGTGCCCACTCTGATCCTCAATGTGATTTTTCTTGCATCTACTGTCTGCAAAGGATGCAGCATATCAACATCCCAAGGCAGAAATTAGAACTAGGACTGCATTTAACAAAAGTGCTCAGATGTATTTGTGGGTTTAAACTCTTCCAAAATGCTAAAATAGAAAGAAGTTCACTTTTTGGAAGAAGTTATCCTAAACTAATTATTTAGGGTAACACTTTTAAAGCAAAACATAAAAATGACTGTAACTACCTAAAAGATGCCATTTGTTTGGATGAGACATATAAAAGCACATGATCACAAACGCTGTAGCAATGACAGTATTGCAATGCAATGCAACAGCAATATGAACACTCCTGTACACAGAACAATGAAGAAAATAGAATCAACACGCACACATTAATACATCTTGATAAATAACCTTATTCAAAAAGGTGTTAAAACACTTTCCGATCACTCCTGTCCACACCCTAAGGGGTGCTTTGTAAACGTTGTAAATAGTTGCATAACCTTTAAAAAAATGTAAATTATATGCTTATCGAGCATTTCCTAGTAGTTCTCAATGTAATATGCAATTGTATCTACTCTTTACGCTGACTTTCTCTCAGAAACCTGAAACAATACAGATACGGGTTTTGCACAAAGCATTTCTGAGCGGTCCCAGGGCAGAGCGTGCCAACGCACCGCACGTGCTCCAGCGCCCAGGGAGAAGAGAGCAAGGCAGAGAGCGCGGGCCCTCCATTTTCACTGGGTAGGTTTTCCCTGCAGGTGCGCGGTGACAACGGCAACTCCTGTTTTGTCAGTTCATAAAGTTAAGCCCCTTCCAGCGACACTAGTCAGATGTCGCTGTCCGGCTGGAAAACAAGCGATGTGCGGGCACGGGGGAAGGGCCTGACGCGAGCCGCTCCCTGGGACGGGAGAAGGAGAATGCTCCCCGCCGAAGGGCCGGGGGCAAGCGCTGCCCTCTCTGCGCTAGGCCGCCCGCAGCAGCCGCCCGCCCCGGCACCCTCCCGTTCACCTGCTGGCGGCGATGCCCCCGCCTGCAGCCGCTCGCCCGTTCTCGGTGCCCGGCCCGGCCCCGCTTACCTCGCCGGCGGGGCCTCGCCGCCGCCAGGCACCCCAGCACGGCGGCGCAGAGCCAGAGGCG